GAGAGCCTGGCAGAGCAGCTGGGCCAGGCCAGGGCGCAGCTCAGGGACAGCGAGCAGCTCTCGGCGCGAAGAGTGGAAGCTCTGAGCCAGGTAAAACCGCGAACGCCTTCCAAATAGCGCTGGCAGGCAGCGGCCTCGCCTCCCTGGGCGAAAGGGTGCGCGTATACCCGAGGAGTGGCAGCGGAACGTACCTCGGGAGCTGCGTTTCCGCACTCCTCTAGGAAAATGAGTAATTTAAGCTTAGTGAGACCAGCGGTGGTTGGCCTGAACGGAGGATGCAGGCGTTTTGCATTCAGGCTGCTCACTCGCGTTTATGGAAACAGGCTGGGGTGCAGAGGCACTAGCGCGGACAGCGTGGTTTAAGTGGCTTGCGCGGGGCGGCACAGCAAGCCGGTGGTGGCAGAGCCCGGACAAGAGAGCAAATGTTTTGACCCCCCGATGCAGGGCTGGTGCGTTTGGCAGGACTTGCTTTATCGCTGTGTGCCCGGAGTTGGACTGTGCCCAGAGCAACTCGGCCGTCTGTATCCAATAGTAGTTCCCACTGCATTAAGTTCAAGAAGGTAAACCATGAAATCCTAAACCAAAAACTTAGCATGGCATTATAAATCTTCGTGCAACTATTCTCACAAGGAGAAGGAAAAATAGTAAAAAAACCCTAAATGTGGAAGTTCCATATTACTTAGTGAAGACCTTCCCCTTTATCAGAGGCAACAGCTTTTGTTTACCTTACAGAACACTGATGCCACCACTTTTTCTACTAAAGTGGTGGTGGTTTTTTTTTTTTAAGTGCACTTGAAAATGGATTTTTGTATTGACATTAAGGCAGCACGTTAATACTTGGAGAAGTAACTGGCAAGTCTGGATTGTGAGGAGATGAGATAGGGAAATGAGTATCTTTTATGACAGAAAACAGAAAAAAGTCTCAAAACTGTATCCCCTCCCATCCGCCACAAGTGCTATTTTTGTTACTGTCATTAAGACTTTCCCATGTTCAGTCTGAAATAGTTTAAGAATTTTAAAGCATTTCTTTCTATACGAAGCTGCATAAAGGAATTTCCAAACCGAGCACCACTGCTTAAAATTGAAACAAGTATTTTTGTCATAAGTAACCTCTTGACCTAATGCTTATACAAAACATTTTCCATATATGAGACTCACCTAAAATACATTTAAATAAGTTCAAGATTGGAAATTTGTAATAAGAGATGATCTTACTGACACTTTGCAGACAGATGACAAACCTGTGGTATCTGAATGTGTTTTGAAGTCTGATGTTGAATGTCTTTAATCTATAGCAAAGGGGAAATATAGCATTTAGCATGATGCTCGACAATTTAAATGTCAGTAATAAGAACAAGTGCTATTTCTGTAAGTTAGATATTAATTTTATTCTTTTTAGAAATAAATATTTTATGCCCAATCAGAAACACTGAAATCATCGTCACTAAAAATAACAACAACAACAACAAAAAGACATTTTGTGAAGTCAGAGGCCTACGTGCTGGCAAAGAAGAGTGCTTCCTGTGATTTACAGCTCCATTAGCACTCCCAAAGAACTGGAAGGGTAGAGTTAAGCTTGTACCTGTCTCATGGTCTATGCTGGCATCCAGGGCATCATTGATCCTGGAGGAGCAGTGCTGCAGAGGTTTCTGTTACTAGCATCTGCTACTTTTTGAGGATATCAAGCACAAGCTGTTTTTGACTAAGTCAGGACTGGTGTACGTCAGATGCATGGTACTACAGAGTGGCTGTACCCCTGTCAGCAAGCAAACTTCTTCCTTCTCAAAACACCTGTGGAGACTTAACACGGTGCGGATGATCCCACAGAGCTTCCAATTCAACAAGAACATGTGGCAGTGAGATATACAGTTGTTTCCTAAGAGCGTGTCAGACCTTCTCACATACCTTGGAGAGTCAGCTATGGCCAAAATAGAGTCATTGCTGCCACACAGATTTCATTTTCTGTTTGCTTGTCCTTACCACTCATCCTTTCCTAGGTGGGAAGGTTGCCGTGTATGTTCCCTCTGCTTTGTCCTTGTGACAGTGCCAGGCAATGAATACACTTCACTGGTTTTTGATAAGATGACTTTCCAGTTCCATTTTTTTTTTTTTTTTTGAGGAAAATCTCTGCTATCTGTAATTTAGAATGCAGGACCAGTAAGCATTTCTCAGTCTCCATAGTTATTCCTTTTAAACTACTTTGTTTCTTTTAAGTTCCATCTTTAGTTTGTTGCCGCTCTGTATCTTTTCATAGAATCTTCCTGAATTTCTGCTGTTGTTTCTGATTTCTTCATTCTACTGACTAGGAAGTGCTTGTATAGCTGTCTGAGCAGTTCTTGATTTTGCTTGACTGATCTGTCAGTTCCAAGGTTGAGTGATTATATAGAAATGAATTGGATTTATTTTACTTTTTAAGTACTTTGCAGTGAGTATAGGAATTACTGCACTATGGAATTCAGTCTTAGAAATATTTTGGCTTTTGAGTTCACTTTGCTTTTAAATAAATTCCCTTCCCCCTTATGTTTAGGAAGTACAGAAGTTGAATCAGCAACTAGAGGAGAAAAATGGAGAGATACAGCAGATGATAAATCAGCCTCCATACGAAAAGGAGAGAGAAATCTTACGACTTCAGAAGAGCTTGGCAGAGAGAGAGAAGGCTCAGGCCACCAGTGATGTTTTGTGCCGTTCACTCACTGATGAAACTCACCAACTTCAACGCAAATTAGCATCCACAGCAGAAATGTGTCAACATCTGGCAAAATGTCTAGAAGAGAAGCAAAGGAAAGAGAAGGGGAATTCAGATGACCGGATACCTACCGAAAGATCTAATCAGGTATTCTTACTGCTACTATGTTTCTTTAAAGTCTTACTGGCTTCTGCGGTGTTAATTACAATGTGATAGTTGTAACTGGGGAGTGGTGAGAAACATCCCTTTAAATAATTTCATCTATGAAATTATGTGGGTGAAAAGACTACCATGGCAAGCTCTAAATAATTCCAAGTACCAAAAATTTAGGATGGAAGCAGTTGTCAATCACTTGCATTTTGGCCATCTTGTCATCAGAGGTTTTTGTTTGGTTGTTTTTTTGGTTTTTTTTTTTTGGAGAGGAGAGGATCTTGAGAGGTCCCTTCCAACCTCAGCAATTCCACGATTACAATTCTTCCTTGCATATACAGGAGACAGTACCTTCTTTATACCACAGCATGTTTCTGTGCATCGCTAGATGGTGCTGTGCTTTTGAAGATGATATCTCCTGATTACTTGTTTAAGCATCTAAATCACAAAACAAAGTAGAGATATTTTAAAGTAGTATTTATATTAAGAACTCTATAGCATGTGGTCTTCTCAGATCAGGGTTTGGCTTTGCACACGTAGTACAGACCTAGAGAAAGATGGTTAGGGAAGAATGTGTCGAGGTGTCTTACTTTTTTTTTTTTTTCCTCTGGGGTTCCCCCCGGACCCTCAGTGCAAGGCAATGTTTCTCTCCAGCAGGGATGTTTAGAAAAATTGCTTCATGATAGGAAGGTGGCAGAAATGCCACTGAGGGGCACAAAGAAACACCTGGATTTTGGCATACTTTGCTAATGGCTGTGTGGCTTTGCCACATCATCACCTTAGCTGAAGCTTTTCAGCGTAGGGTAGGGGTAGATTGTTGTCCTGTTGTTCCAGAAATCATGACGGTTGTGAGTCGTTAGGTAATTCATGATAATACCATAAGGAAATAACAGAGGTGCTGCCTTCAATAACAGATCAGCCTATTGAGTAGGATCCTACAGCCAATTCTCACAAAAAAAAAATGATTCTGTCTCATGCTCTTACTGCTACATAGTAGCAATGCTGTGTTTCACGACTGCTCATCTATGCTTTTATGATAAACTCTATACATTGCTCACTTCTACTTTGTAAAACATCCCAGGAGCATTTCCAAAGAAAACCTATTCACATTAAAGTTACCTGTAAGAAATAGTTAGAGGTTGACTAGATATAAGAAGAAAGGATTTTTTTAAGGGACTTGAAGCATTTAGTATTATCATATTTTACGTGTAATTGATAGACAGGAAACTTGATTGACTTTGATATATGTAATAAGTAGCTAACTTTGTACAGTGGGGACTTCCCTGTTGAAGAAGAGAAATTTCAGATGCAATTACTAGCTGATTCTAGGGAATTTTGTACAAAAGTGTTCTATATTACTCACGTACACTGGGGGTTTTTTAAGCAGATGTCACAACTGTAAAAAAGGGGTATCATTTTAGTCAATTATTTATCAAGCAGGGTTTTTTTCCCCCTCAGTAATTTCTTCCTAGTACTGGCCAAAATTGACAGTAATAACAAAGCAAGATGAAGGTATATCTGTGTCTTTGTCATGCGTTCCCCCACTCCAAACAAGTAGTTTCCAAGGAGTTCATGTAAACTGTTAAGCTCTGTTGTCATCAGTGTAGACCCTCATGCATGCAAAATGTGTGGTATTTTTCTTGTTACCTTCAGTAGGCTTAGAATTTGGTAAGACATACGTTTTTGACATCACACAGATCTATTTAAAAGCAATACCAAGGTGGTAAAAACCTAAGTACATTTTTGCTCTGCTTATTAATAATAGCTGTAGGCTGTACTATTAGTACTTAGAAATATACTATATAGAAATAAGTATAGCTAGATGTATGTATTTGTTTCACTGGTAGCAAATAGTTTTAGAGGAATTTAAAAAAAGATTACTTCCAGTTTAACAGCATAACTAAGTGTTTGGGATTTTTATATTAAAGTAACACTTCTTTCATCTGAAAATTACAGCTTTTAGACAATGAAACTTCACTTCAAGCTCTTATCTGCAACCTACAAGATGAAAACAGGATGTTAAAACAAAAAGTATCTCATGTGAGTACTTTCATTTTGTACAAGATTAAGATTTGATTGACTATTTTGAATTACAGTAAATTTGGAATAGGTAAGGCCTGGTTAATCTAATTAAACGGCAGTTTAATGCAAGTCCTAAACTTTTCTTAATCCTTTCAACATAGCACATAGTCTTCGTTCCCTTAGCTATGAACAACTTAGTACATTATTTTTAATGTATTGGGGTTTTTTGTTAAAAATACACTGCAGAAGAAAATAATTTTTGTGTTCCCTCCATGCATCAGTATTCCACCCCAGAACAGCAGCACTAGGCCCAGGGTGACCGCCAACCCCTCCCATTCCATATTATTTGATACTGTCCATATGGATTGGGGAATGGGGAAGACTGCCTGTGAAGAGCCTGGCTTATAGCATGATAATCTTCTGCTGCCCTGTAAAGTGGCTTATCCACACTCAGCAGTTGAGTCAGCATATTATATTCTCTTTTAGAGAATTTTGGTCCTGCACATAGAGGCAGTCTATGAAAGCTTAGAAGTTTGTGTCTTCATGTTCTTCATGACTCTCCTGGGTAATCTTTCAGGTGGAAGACTTAAATGCAAAATGGCAGAAATACGATGCAAGTAGGGACGAGTATGTGAAGCGACTCCACTTGCAACTAAAAGAGATGAAGTCACAACTGGAGCAGCAGCACGGCGTAACTTCAGCACAAACGAATTCTGACCTGATGCACAAAGAGATATTCCGGTTAAACAAGCTACTGGAAGAAAAAATGAATGAATGCATAAAAACAAAGAGAGAATTAGAAGATGTGAAGAAGGCTAGTGAAGGAGATAATGAGCGCATACAAATGCTGGAGCAACAGGTCATTAAGTTTCTTTTTCCTAGAGGTGGGAATTCTTAGTTTTTCCCCAGACCACTGAAGTCCAAGTGGGAAAAATGAGATTATTTCTTTTGACATTTGCCACTTGTCTTGCCACATTTGGCTATACAGATACTTAACAACACAGATTTCTAGGAAATTCACTACTTAAAGAACTGCATGCAGTTCTGCTGGCTTTAATACAAAATATGAAAGATCTGAAAAAGAATACAAATACCTTTAAAGTACAGATATGATGGAGAAGATAATAGTGAGATTCTGGGAATAAGTATTTACAAACAAAGGAATCACAGCCTCAACTTCTTAATCTAACCTGCCAATGCTCTAATTTATAAATACTAACATAATAATTCTTTTTCAGGTCCTAGTTTATAAAGATGATTTCACATCTGAGAGATCAGACAGAGAACGAGCACAGAGTAAGATACAAGAGCTTCAGGCAGAAGTTGCATGTCTGCAACACCAGCTAGCAAGAAGACAGGTAAAAAAGCAACATGGTAGTTTTTCAATTAAAACATGTCAACAGAATTCAGGACTAAAATATACTTTTAAGTATATTTTTAATAAATCTTAGTACTTCTAAAAGCATTTCAGCTCAGTGCAGCTATCAAAAACTTACGTTATTTCATAGTCTGAGTTCTAGTGGAGATGCTTCCCAGTACACGTGTAATACCCCTCTCCAGTCCATTTTCCTTCTATTTTGGATCAACATAGTAAGGGGGAATTCTTAGAAGGAAGAGAAGGGCAGCCATGGCTCTTGTAACAGTGGCATCTTTAAAGTAGCATGCTGGCTGTATTCTGTGTTTTCTACAAGCCTTCTTTACAACTATTATTAATAAAACTGCAAAAACTGATGCATAATTTTATTTACAAATCTTCTGATAAAAACATGAGCAGTTTTTCAGATAAAGGTGATAACATACTCTGTTAAAGAATATCTTTTTACTGCACCTTTTTCAAGAGCTCTTCTTTCTCTTTCTAGGACTCAAGAGACACAAGTAGTCATTTCAGAGTTCACATTGGTAACCAAAATCACATGTATGTACAGACAAATGTTGAACATCTACGAGGCAATAGCCCGGGCCAAACAGGCACGAGAAGAACACCTTCACAGTCTGAACAAGCTTCTCCAGCTGTGGACAATGGAAACTCAGGATCTGAGGGCAGGGCACAGGGTGAACTTAGATGCCCTCATTGTATGAGGTTTTTCAGTGATGAACTCAGTGATGAATTCCTCAAGCATGTTGCTGAATGTTGTCAGTGACCACGTGATGTGAGGTGTGTAAGTCGATCACTACTTTATAGAGAGTAAAACCTTGCTCTGTACATAATGTGCTACAGTCCTAAACCAAGAGTAATTCAAATGGACAGCTCTTAGGAATTAGGAGGATGAACAATATCTACCTCTTATTTGATTTCACATTCTCTTGGACTGTATGAAAGACTTCAAGATAAAGCAAAGTGTTGTTATGAAGAATTATTTTTTACAACTATGAGGAAGGCAAGCATAGTGCAAATTCTACTACAAACTAAATGGAAACTTACAGTGGTAGTTAGCTTCAGACTGCAGCTTGACTCGTAGTAGAGTTGAATTCTTTACAGCAGTCTGAAGGCTTGTGACAAAGATTACTGAACTTGAAATTTTCCTCCTTTTCCAAAAATGTAGGCTAAAAAACAGGGGAGGAGCATTTTGGCAGAAGGTAGGAAAAATTTTACTGTGCTTTATCTGGATTAAAATACTTCCGCTTTTAATATGTTGTCTGTTGAGGCTGAACTTTCAGACATTTCATCTGAAAATCCTTGTGTTCAGATGAAATCAGGAGAAGTGAAGAAAATATGAAAGGGCTGGTTATTGACTACAACTAGCTTGTCTTTTTGCACAGAAACCATGTACAGGGGTATTTATTTTTTCTGTACCATAAGTGGCTATTTTGCACATTTGTAAATGCGTATTTGTGTAACTATTGATTGTATTTGTATTTTACCTAAGGATTATTTTTATAATAAAAGTGATTATGCAGTTGCTTTACTACATTAGTAAAGTGGTCAAAAATCTCTCTCTCAGTGTAAGTATTTAAATGTGAAGTAGTCCCAGTAACTATACTAAGGGCTAACTAAATGTCATGGTTTCAGATATGAGTTATTTCATTACTTCAGTGATAATCAGTGTCTCAGACTATTTTCAAATATGTTGAAAAATCACTCCTCATTTATGAGAGGAAGAATGACCTTTCAGATGCATGAGAACACATTTAATGCCCTACCTTGCCACATGTCTGTGACAACCCCAATGCTAGCTTAAATTTCTTCTCATCGTATCTACACTGGAGATAACTTCTAATACTTCTTCTCAAAACAGTCCTCTGCTATTTGTTGAAGTTAACATGTACAGATGTAACAGGGCCACAGGTTTTTTCAGCCTTGGCTCCGGGTGTTTCTCACCATGTCAGAGCTGGCATTAAGGATGGGATACAAAGTAAAGGCCTAGTGCAACTATGACCTTTCATAATTAAAGAAAGGTTACTTTGTATAACACTACCACTGCCCTCTGCTTTGTTTCCTTCCCAGAACTACACTTTAGGAGGATTGTGGGTATTTTCCTTGATACCTCCTTTTCATGATCCTGTTACAGACCAAATGAAGATGATGGTTTATGCCAATGTTGCCTTAGATGGGATATTAACAAAAAAGATGTGTGGGCCATTGCATGCAGTGTGCTGTTGCAATGGTTCTTATTAATCTAATCTTGAACTGATTGCAAACCTGTGATTGATTACTAGCTGGTTTTTCCCAACACAACATGCACAAACATGCAGAGATTTTTATTTTTTGCTTTCTTTTTTAGTGACCATTTTATACATCGCCTTTTAAGGTCTTGGAGATCGGATGCAGCCCACAGAACATAGGCTGAGAAACATGATTAAACTTCCTGTGGCATAAGCTAATCTTACTTTTTCTGACTGTTCTCATTAGACAAGCCTTGTTTACAGCTCCAGTAGTAATCACTGGCTATATTGCCAGTGACTGATACAGCAGAATATGGACTTTTTTTTTTTAGTTATTCACATTACAAGATAGTTACAAACACAACAATAAATAAGTTAGATCTTGGCAGTGCATTGTTTTTTATTGCATTTGAGATGATCACTGCTTTAATATGTATCAGTCAGAAGCTCAAGTCCACTATAGGTTTCCACTCAGGTTAATCCCTGTGGGTACAGTTGGACAGACTGACTTACAATATTAGAAATAGATGCAAGAATTAGATACGAGTATCTACAGTCTGCAGTACATAGAAACTAACAGTACATATTCTTGTGGTTTCAAGACCTGTGAATTAGTCCCCTTGTCAGAGCAGAGATTAGAGTCCGAATCCTGGGAAAGGAGGGCACTTCAGTGCTGGGAAACTGGATCTCTCTCCATAGAGGACCACACTGGACCAACAGACACAAACAGGTGACGTTACAGGTCAAGCACAGATTACAGCTACCACCTAAAGCTATGCAATAACTGTCTGGAATTTGAATACCCATGGCAAAAATCTAGGACAGATCTGCTGTTTTTCAGTATAAAAATACCTCACTTCAGAGCTATTTTATTTGAACATTTCCTCCTGAGGTTTTTTTTCCCAGCTGGTAAAAAGCCCTACCTATTTCTTTCTTGTTTTGTCTTAACCAAGAAAGCAGTTACAAACACTGTGAAGAACTACCAGTGTCTTTCTCACATGCAAATGTTTGTTTCAGATTATAGGGCATAAACTATTCCTCCTAAGAAAATTTGTCTGTCACCCAATGCTTTGACTTTTACACCAAAGTCACTGGTAGATCTCTTGAAGAAACAGTATAAAATCTTTACTTGCCCTCTCCTCACCAGGCAAAGCATACACATCAAGGCATCCCAAGCAATTACCACCACCACCTACACTCACAATTCAGATTCCTCAACTTGTAGCCCAGAATGCATTAAAACTGTCAGCTCCACTGCCCCAACACTGAAGTGAAAGCAGCCATGAGTTCCCAGCATTTTTTGAACCCTTTACATTAAGGAAACCTCCTTCTGGTCTCACACTGGTTTCCTCTGCCACTTGGATGCCCGTCCAAGTAATGCGTATCTTGTTTGGTTAAATGGTAAAAGCAACCCAGCTTCTTTCCCAAAAGAAAGCAATAAAGACATATGAGTAAGAAAGTAACTGCATAAAATGAAAGGAACTTCAATAGCATAAACTTTATGAACTTTCGTTATCCATTTGTACCACACTTGTTCACTGAAACACACATCATCTGTAAAACTGCAGAAACAAGTCCTCACACAAGAGGCTAAACCATACAGAATAACTACATGACCGTATGGGACTCAGTTCCTTATTTGCTGTATTGGTAACAAAAGGCATCCAAGATAACTGAACCCTGTTATCAGGCAAAGTTAATGCCCATTCAGGCTTCTGTAAGTCTCTCGTTGCCAGTGAGCAATGCCCATACTGGAGAGGCATGCCAATAGTAGAAGACAGACAGAGATACCTCTGTAGGTCCGAGGAGGCTGGGAGGAGGCAGGATGTCTCTTCTGGGAGTTGTAGGAATGTGTCTTAGCATATTAAGGGCTGCCAAGATGTATTTGTCCAATTACCTTCATGATTAGTCCATCCCTTCTCCTAAAATTTCTCCCTCATTGAATTTCCTTCCCTTGGTTTTGCTCTCTAAACCAGCCCGAGTTCAGACTCAGGACGAGCTCAGAGCTCCTGAGCAGCTGTCTCACCAACAATGAGGTTTACCGGCCATATATATATCCTCCAAGTGCTGGCAAGCTGGTTCTCATTACTCCTAGACCTAATTATAATGTATTCAGCTTGGGATTTTAAAGTAAATGCTCTTTACTAATAACTATGCTGGTTGCCATGCAGAAGCAGGCCCCTAGCGCACAATCACGACAGCAGCTGTAGGCAAGACTGACTCACTGGATCTCAGAAAATACAGCTGGGAGAAGCCTCAGAAGTTGGTCCCTACCCCAAAAGCCCCAAGGGAGAGAAGCTCAACAATAATGCTGTCCTCTGTAGCATGGGCAGTATAGAGCCTAAAAAGCTTCTCAAATCTTCTGCAACTTTTAAGGCAACATCTGCTTCCCCCTCCGATGGTTTAGGACATCACATCTTTTAAAAGAAGCCTTAAATGATGCCTCAAGATTAAGTGCTCACTAATAATAAAACTGACTACAAGAATAAAATTTGTCAAGAAGCAGATACCTATGCTCTATGGTATTTTTTTTAAACTTCCATTTCCTGTGGCTTTGCTGCATGTGTATATATAGAAAGCAAGGGAAATTCCAAACAAGATGCCACACCGTTGTACTCAGAACAGCAGTGCTTCTCATTCTAAAAAAGGGAAGTCTCAAATTCTTTTTCTACAAAATCTATGTGAATTCAAAGTATGCTGTAGTAATATTTCCTAGTACCATGTTCCAGTCAGCTGGGGGGGGGGGGGGGGTTCAGCTAAAAACCTAAAGCATAAGAAATACTTACAAAGCACTAGGTCAACCCAGCAGGACCTCAGCAGAGGGATGGGGTATCAGGTTAAGCACTCCTGCCTTCTCACCTGATGCCTCAAATTGCTTACTAAGGGCCAAGCACAGCCCAGCACCCTCACTGAAGCTTTCCCTGCCGCAGGCCGTCCTAGCTGGGGGGTCAGAGCTCCAGCAAGGTCGGCTGGGGCTTTACAAGGTTCTGCAGCAACTGCCGAAACAGGGGCTCCTGAAAGGCACCAACCGTCCCAAGTGGCACAGCCTCCACTCCTGCTGCAGCTCAGTGCATTCTTCCCCTTTCTCTTTAGCACGTCCGCTTTTTCCTCCTTTTTTACGTTTACTGGTAAGAAGCTGTTGGTGCAAGAACTCTTCACAACATGCACTGGATGTATGGCATCTATAGTGGCCAATAACCTCCCTCAGGAACTTGAGATATTTCCATAGCACATGGAGCTCCACTGTGAACAGCACTGAACCAGATGGCGGGTTATGAGACAGCTTATTTCTAGAAGGCACAAAAAACCCCCCATTTGAAGCGTGTACTTGGCTTAACCATGCTTGTTCCCCTGACCATCGTTCCCCAGGCCAGCCCTCCAGCATGCCTTCTGGAGACCTGGTTGATGGATGGGCCGAGCACGTGCGAGCAGGGCAGCTCTGGCTGCTCATGCTGATGCCCACCTCCTCGGTGTCACATGAACTCACCTTGCCTGAGGCTTTCACACTCTAATTTCTCAAGGAGCGGGAGGAAGGAAAGAGCAGTGGGACCCCATCCTGCAGCGCTTGCAGATCCACCTCCATCCCCTCCCTGTCACTGCTGCAACCTTCTCTCTCCCCTCCTCCCCCATCCTGCACTCACCCAATCTGTCAAATCTGTCTTCATGCAAAAAGCGTTTGGTTGGTGGTTTTTTTTTTTTTTTTGTTTTTTTTTTTTTAAATCACCAATAGATACCTTCTTGGTTACATGCAAAGATCACAGGCAGTTATTACAGGAGGGGCACATGCGTTACCAGGCAAGCTGGGTGTCTGCCCTGCCAGCTCTTTGGCCAGCACTACCACATCCCATGCCTTGCTGAGCTTCTTGGTTCCTGCTGTAGCCAGACTTCCTCTAGCCACATCCCAAACCTCCCCTGCACAGCCCAAAATGGCATGGCTGAATGGGACAGCGAGTTTCACAGCTCGATGTCCTGCTCCACAGCAGTCCGGACTTGGGCGATCCCCGGGGTTACCTCCTCTGTAGAGACAGGAGCCCACGCCAAAGGAATAGTGCCTTGCTGGCACAGAGGCCAACCTGTGGCCTCCCTCCAGCTGTGCCCCCACAGCCCTCCCTGGGCCAGGCCAGCTGCAGTTTGTGCAAACCAGCCACCTGCGCCTGCCACCTGGGCCCCGGGCTGGGAGGAGAGCCACAGGCACACGTACCAGCTCTGGGAGCAGCCCCACTGTGACTAGTCCCACTCACAAAGCCCTGGGGTTTTTCCTGCCCAGTGCGAAGCAGGAAGCAGGTCTCAGACCACGCTACAGA